AGTGACACGTGTCGTTTGAAAATTAACAACGTGGCCACTCTAGTCTATTTGATCTATCGCACGACCGGAAAAAACAAATCGCTCGGTACCCAGCTGAATCGAACTAGCAGGAGGTCGCTATTCTATTAATTCGGGATATCGACGTTTCTCGTTCGAGAGCGTGTCGATGGTGTAGCGCACAGGTGCGGTAAGTGCAGTTTATCTAATTTCAGATTCGCATCACGGTACATTATTTTTTTTTATTCATCCTTAACGCGGATTTCCGTGCTTAGCGCAGCTGTCAGTCGTCATGCTGTCGTTTATAATCTGTCACTTGCCAAGATCGCCATGCGACAGCCAATTTTAAATTGCTGATGAAATTATTAAGTTTTTTAATTAAAATGGATACAGGTAACAGAAATCGTAGAAATTAATAAAATTTCAATTCGAACGAACAAAACTACTGTGTAAATTATACGCGTAAACCTATGCAAAGTTTGTAAGTTTAATACGAAAATAATAGACGTATAACTTTAAAATATGTAGAATAGACCGAAATCGGATCAATATAAGCTTTGAAATGTATAGAACTTTTATCTATTGTTTTCGGTACAGAGAAAACAATAGACAACAGTTCTATGCAAAAGTAACTGCCTGTTTGAAATAAAAAACTGACAACAACTGTCTCAAAGTTTATTGATTCGATTCGCCTTGGCCTATCCTATATATATAATTTCTTTTCCAATATTTTGTCAGTTTTATTACTGGAAATATTAATATTTTTTACTCACTAAAAGAATTAAGTGAATAAATTATTATAAAAATAAAAAAGATGATGAACCGAATATTTTATTAGTATAAAAGACAATTATATTGAAAAGTTAAAAGATTTTAGAATTTCTTCAGTAATACCAAGAAAAAAACAATTTTCTGAAATCTAACATTTAAGTATACATAGTTCTAAAAATAGTTTTACTGGGCTATTAAAATAATTACGTAAGAATCCCAAGCATGATAAGCAACGCCGTAAAAAGTTTTGACATTCTAGAAATCAGTTTGAGCGTTCTACATAATCACTTTGATAGTCTAACAAAATTATTTTTAGATCACATCCGAATGTGGCAAAAATTTTTAGATATTTTAAAACCGTCCTTTTTATGTGACCGTTCGGACTTCTACAGTGTTAAAAACATGGGCTCTACTTTAATAATTCCAAAAGGTCTTCAAAGTACGAACCTAGTTAGGTGGATCGTGTGACGTTCTTTCTCGGAACGAGTGTCCCCGGAAGTTGACCCCGATCCTCGAAACTGAAAATTAAAAGGAACGACCTCGCCGATGTCCGCGCGAGAGCCCACGCTGTGGGCGCGTCGTACATTAGTTCGGAATATTGCATGGCGGTACCCGTATATCCAGTCCACGCGCTCTCGCTCGAATCGTACATTCAGCCCGAGCCGGTTATCTAGACGAGCGGCGAGCCCGCAGCTAACTTGGAAACCGGGGCTCAGGAAAAAAGCCCCTTCTGGCACATCAAAGCCCGTCATCGCGTCCGAGCGCGGGTTCTCTCTCGTGTCCTCTTTGCTCGTCTCAGGATCGCTTTTTGTTGACGCAACGCTATATAAAATCGTCATAGACGTGCCGATACGAGGCGTTCGATTAATATATGATTAAAAAATCCTTTACAAAACAGATAGGAAATAAAGACTCTAAACGGTTAAGCTTCATCTTTAATGTTTAAATAATTCAGTGAATTTTATGAATTTACATGAATTTACTTTAGGATAAGTGGTCTAACAATGAATCATGTAAATTTCAGAGGCTTATATCTCTTTCAATTATGATGAATTGAAGGTCTAAGTTTTGGCATACAGTTTATGAATTTAGTTGGCTACGTACTGTAAACAATAACTTTTAAATTATTTTTTAAATTTAGTCACAATTTCGATTATTTAAAAAATCGGGAAGTGGTTCATTGTGTATAAGGAGTATATACACAATGAACCATGTTATTTTTAATAATAAAAACTACATGTTTTATATTACGAATTGTTGGGATTATTTTAGTTTTGTTATATTTTAAAATGTTTATTTATAAAATAGAATTATAAGATGATGAGGATTCACAACGTCGACCGTGTTTTTCTTTCGTTTTGAGAAAACGCGTCAAATGAGTATATTTTTATTGAGATTTTAAGTGGAGGAGCCGTATTCTAAATAATTATTACAATGAATTATTATTTTGAAGATTATCGTAAAAAAGATCGAGAAAATTTACAATATACCAACAATATGGTTCATTGTTCAATACGTCATGATTCATTGTAGACCACCTAAGCTTTTTCATGATAATCTCCTAAATAATGTGGTAAAATAATATAACAGAAAAAGTTGCTTACAGAATAATAAAGCCAAATGTGCACACAAAACTATTGCACAATGAAAAAAATGATAGATGTACAAACTGTGTGTCGAATTTAATTTTAGTGTTAAAATGCAAACCTAAAACTAAAGTAATAATGTCACAAATTAAATTGAGCAATTTAATAATATTGATACTCACGGACGTCCTAGAAAAATTTTAATAATCTGATACTGATAAGCATCTTAAAACTCTCAAATAATTTTATTACAAAAAATATTACCTCCGCTTGGATTCGAAGACCTTTAAAAAAATGTAATAGAAATTCTCGACTTAAACATAATGATCTCAAAAACACAATGATCTCTTAATTAGAAAGAAATTAAAAGAAAAACTCTATTTTACATTATTATTATATATTTCATTGATAGTTAATGGGCTTGACGGCTTTGTACATGTCTATCGTGGTCTTTAATACGAATTTAGATGCATAGAAGCATACATGTGCACGCGTGGGGTATATGTATGCGGAAGCGTAATGCAAGAAGAAGAAAAGCGAGAGAGGGAGAGAGAAAGAGAGAGAGAGAGAGAGAGAGCGATAGAATGTGCTCCGTAGGGGATGATGGCGAAACTCCTGCGAGCAGTCAGTCAACTTGGCTGGCCCGGTGTGTGTCGGTTAGGTTTGTGCGCCGCCTGACTGCCTGGTCCAGACGCGATAAGGCACGTCCGACACTTCCACTGGGATTCTGCTCGGGGCTGATATCATATCCGCCCGCGCTGCCGGAGCATCCCCGACGCTACGCCGTTCGAGGTGTATTTCGCGATAGTCACCCGCACACCGCGTGTACTTACGGGGTGCGGCTTACGACCTGGAGCTCGTCCTCGGCGTTACATCCGCCTCTCTTCTCGCTACTGAGAATCTTCTAAAACTGAAGGGCACTAACGGGAGAATAAGTTAGCGATGCGCTTCGAAATCTTAGGACATTATTTAGTTTTATAGATGTACTGAATATACAGTTAAGCCCCCTTTGAAAGCGATGTTTAATTTAATTACTGACTTTCAGAACGAAATTGTCCTGAGGCTGCTCCATTTTCATAAAACGTTAACTGGGCCATTTAACATTGTTTTTTTTTTATTTGTTACAGTTGGTTTCTGTAATAATTGAAATTAATCTGAATCCTTTGTCTTTGTGTAATTCTGTTTTTGAAAAGAGACAGGAAATGATATTAAACCACGGCTAGCGTTTTTCGATATTTATGACATAACAAGACCAAAAGAGATTTATCAACAGACGTCTAATTATTTTTGATTAAAGTTCAGGGGAACGGCCTGTATACGTCTTCTCTCCCTCCTCTGCGTTTAGCTAAGTTAAAAAAAGACATTAGGCATCGCGTGACGCGTTAACTTTCAAGTGTGCAACCGATCAGACGGAAACAGTGACCAGGATGAAATCCGAGGATGACGTCCTCGGTTCTTAAGTGGTACGCTTGTCGGCGAGATGAAATCGAACACATGGAGTCGCGAGATGTCGGGATCGAATTGGCGGGGAGAAGGCCCGCGAGAAGAAGGATGCGAGAAAAACGGCGGCGTCGGCGGCGTCGGCGGCGGCGGCGAAAGGGGCGGAAGAAAAAGGAGCTCTGTTCGAGATGAGGGAGAGAGAGAACGAAGGAGAATTCGAGAGCGGGAAGACCGTGGGTAGGGATTGCGATCAAAGCCATCTGTTGCATTGTCCCGGCAATTAGGAGGCGACAGCTGAGTCCCACCGTACTTACTTCCAGCCAGGGACTCTCAGCCGCGTGGAGCACGTGCGCTTTATCGATCTCGCTCTCTTCGTACCCCGTCGAACGTCGCCCACGAAGACCACCTTGCCCCGTGCGGAACCTTGCGTATGGCTCGAGTGCGTAAACCCGGGTGCTAATCTGGGTGCAGTTGCAGTAGCCGCATGTATTCTTTCGTAATCAGTACGACTTTTTATTTATCAGTAAATAAAAGGAGCTTTCCAGCAGAGGCACAAATCGATACAAGAGTCATTCCTTACCGAATATCGAAGAAGAACAGGATGACTCTTGTGTCAATTTGTGTCTCTTGCTGGAAAGCTCCCAATAAATCTCAAATTAAAATTTTTGGTGTACTTTCAATGAATCAACGGTAATGATAATTTGTATTTGTTGAGCGATATCATCATTTCTCGCATTTTCTTAGATTCATTGATAAGGACTATTAGACAGATTTGACTGTAAACTTCTACGTCTAATAGAATTCGATTAAGCACGATGCATGTTAAAGCTATCGTACACAAATTGACGAAAAGATATTTGTTTAATATAAATTTAGAAACGCGAGTTAAATCGTGAAGTTTGCACTACACTTTATTGTTGTTAGATAAAATATGTATTTTATAATTTAAAATGTTTCACTTTGACTCAGATTAAATCAGGGTACAACGGCTTTAAAACATGCATTGTTCTAAAAATTACCCCTATGAAGTAAACATTCATTTTTAGAGAATCTCTAGACATTTACATTTAAAACTTTATGTCACTAAAAGACACTTTTCAGAAACATATTTAGAAATTTTTAATCTCTTCTGTTCGAAGAGGAAAAAATCAGGATTGTATTAATTTATATTAAAATTCTGCAAGTGGATTATAACTGTTGATTTCATAGAGATTTAAAAACTGCGAAAGTAGTACAATGATAAATTTTACGAAATAAATTGCCACATAAACTTGTGTAACAATCTTATACTTCTGTGAAGTCATACGAAGTTCCATGCTGCGAAAACAGTAAGGATCGCTGTAAGCGTAACTGCTAATTGCGAATGGCTTACGTCAGTAACAGTGTGGAAAGTAACTCGTGGAAGGAACGGTTGATTGACGTAATAGTTTGCGGAGAACTTCTTCATCGTTGCGGAATGTCTGGCTGTGATGCGTGCTACGAAGAAATAAAGAGCCTCAATGAGAAACAATTTGATGCACGAGAGATATCGGTACATGTATGAGTATGAAAATCTATCTTGCATTTAATGGAACTTCGAATATCTAATTCTTAGTACATTATTGCAATATTTAATACTAGAAGAATTAAGCAATCATTATTGACCGTTTCTATTTTTTTTAATTAATATTATATTTCTTGCGGAAAAAATAGGATTCTGAAATTTTTTAACTTTTCACACACAATCATCATGTTCTTTATACTGATAAAATATTTCGTTTTTCGTTTTCTTTTTTTATTTTTAAAGTAATTTACTCGCTTATTTCTCCCTTTATAAGTAAGTACATAAAAAACATTGGTACTTCTAGGGATAGTGCAATTTCGATATGATTGATTAATTGTAAATAAACTGGAAGTAGAACGATTACATTTTCGCACTAGAAATGTGCGAGCTAAAGGATATAAAAATTCAAATGACTCGCGTGACGCAGATTTACGGATGAAATTGTGCATCGTTCAGATATATAGATATTATCATGGATAACGGATATCTTCGAGCAGAACTCAAAGAAAAGTTTACCCGCGGCGCTTCAGATGCTGCCTTGGGTTTCCGCACGTGTGTGTGTATATGTGTGTGTGTGTGTGTGTTTTGTGTTGTGTTGTGTTGTGTGTGTGTGTGTGTGCGCGCATATGGTCCGCAAGGACAACCCACATGGGTAAACTTTGATTTTCTACTAGCGACGAAGACAAACGGAGTTCTGCAGAAAAATGGCGCGCGGTTGTCCGAAATTTTCTATGATACACGCCTCCTTTCACAGATGTATCGAAATTTTGACATCCATATTGTAAAAAACTAAAACCGAAAGTGCTACAAGTAATTTCACGCAGATCATATTTACGTCACGTTTACTTGGAGCGTTATTAAAATAAATTTTGCATTAGGAATTTTTACAAAATCAATAAAAAGTGAAAAATACAGATTGACTCTTTCGATATTTTTTAAACGACATCACTGAAAAAAACATCACTGAAAAATGTGTTTAATTTTAAGATATTAAAATGTTTTATTCTTATCTCCGTTTTTTAAAGACGTTTCAAACTTTTTCAATAAACAAAACACTATGTATTTTAAATCCAAACATATAGTGTTTTGTTTATTAAAACAGTTTAAAATATCTTTAAATGAAGAACGGAGACAATAATTACACTTCTTTTTTTGAGTGATTCTACGGCTATAATTGTTACATTTTCCACGAAGAGAGAGATCGTTAGAGCGTTCAACTTCAATCCAATTTAATTACTATATAACAGGTGCTTTCCATTTAGTGACACAAGTCGATACACACATCGTTCTATCTTTCTTGACAGTTTAGTGAATAACAAAGGTAGAACGACACTTGTGTCACCAAATGGAAAGTATCCATTATTGTGATAAAAAATGACGACCAACGTTTGCTCGATGATATCGAATACCGCGGATGCTCGTCACGATCAAAAGAAATCAGCGAAGGAGAGCGTTTCTCCTGATAAGCTTCTAAGGACAGGGTGAAGCGGGCTGCGGGGCGACGAATGAGAGACAAGGATGGAGAACCGCTGCAGGAAGTAACAGCTGGCCGAAGGGATAGTAACATCAGCAACAGCAGCGGCAGCAGCAGCGACGGTGGTGGTGGCGACGGTACGGTGGCAGCGCGGCTGTACCATTACCATCGCCCAGCTAGATACCTTCTCTCCAGGTTTCTTGTACATACGGGCACATAAGTACACACACACCCACATACACGCACACACATATATACACACACATGCGACAATATGAACGAAAGACGCACGGCTGCATCGGCACAGCCGGCAAGATTGCACTCGTCACAAGTTCAGCTGAGTGACAGTCGCGTGCAATCACAACGCGACTCTGATTAAACATTCGCGTGTCGTGCACATGCTCTTGCACGCCGACGGTCTTTAACCTTGGCTACATGCACAGAGAACTTTGACAAATGTGGATTCGTGGTCCAATGAGATCCAATAAGACCTTACCGTCTTCCTTCGAACCACGTCCGATGTACAAGGGTAGTTCGAAAAATTCTATTGTTATATGATTAAAAATATATTTTTGGCAATATTTTTTCTTATTTTTCCACATAAGCTATCTTCAGTAATTTAAATTTAATTTACATTTATTCTAACGATATTCTTACTTTTCTTATACCGTCTGTATATGATTTCTTAAATCTTCAAAGCTAGTTTCACCGATTTATTTGAGACGGATCTTTTCTTTGCTTTATGTTTAGAAGAAGGAAAAAGCCAGGAGATTAAATCTAGTAAATATAGTACGCATGGAAATAATTCAAAGAGCAATTTATACAATTTCGCAACTGCAATTGAACGTTGCTTGTTTTACGTGAGCGAAACAAAGAAATTAATGAATGCGTCTGAAATTTTAATAGTAGTTCTGGATGGGATCAAAATCTTATCTAAAATTATAGCAGTTTGATATTTATGACGTTATTTCTGTGTCAACCCGAGAACTTTTCTACCTCTCATATCTAATCGTCCTCCCATTTTTTTTCTTTTTCTGAAATATTTTTAATGATGACGAAATTACGCTAATTGTTACGACAAGATTAAATGACAATACATCAGATACGTGTGACAACTGATATTACAATTATTTACCTGCCGCAGTAACGGAATAATTATACCGCAACACATTATTCGATGCAATAATCATATTTGTTAATTACTTCATTACAATCTATTTACATAATTATATCGTTCATTATTTGCATGTTATTATATCACGTGCATAATTATAATTATAATTTTATTTAGGAATACGCAATTGCGTGGCGAGCTCGCGTCTGGTCTGAAATTTTTCGGACTGGAAGAAGAGAGTACGAGAATTATGTACAGTGCTAAACGATAGCATTAGTACAGCAGGTTGTTATTCCAGAATAAAGTCAGTATTTAAAAAAATAGCGGCAAACTGTTTATTTCTATAAAAATTTTTACTTTTTATACTTTATATTTATAATATACAATGATGTAAATTGACATAAATGAAGAAAAATAATCCGATTTGTTAAATAATTCCAAGTTCTAGTAACGCCTCAGTAATATTTATGAGTTAGTAATGACATAATTTTTTATATTTCAAACTGTATAATCATTCGTATTATTTATATGATGTGCAAAATTATTTGTTTCTGTTAATATTGAAAAAGCGTAATATAGAGATTTAAATATCTGTTTTTCATTGTTTATTACAATCATCATACAAAATTTTTGCAATAAACATCCAGCTCTCTCTCAGCTCGCAGCCGTTATTAGTTTGAAAAATAATCCACTATTTCTTGTAACTCAGTTAAAAACTAAATTAAATGATACAAAGAATGAATGTCGGGACTTCTTCACGTTTCTGCTTAGGTCTGTTTTCTGTGACTGAACTAGTGTACACTTGGAACTTCAAATAAGACAGGTATATATTGTTTAATATTTGGAGAAAGAGAGTTCTAGTGCAGTCTAGTGCAGGAATAAAAAACATACGTCTTGTTTAATGAAAAACATTAAATTGTGCAAACTTAGCACAACTGACAGGTGTATTATCAGTATGAACACACATTAATTGTCAGTTGTGCTAATAATTTTGTCCAGGAAAATATTTTTGGAAGATATTTTTGACTTTTTCTTGTAATTGTATTTACTTCATTATGTTGATTTCTATTTGTAATTATATGTAAAAAAAATTAAGTGTTTTATCAAAATTATTATTTTTCTGCCATTTTTTTTAGAGAAATAGATCATTTCACAGTAGCAACCGTATTATGTCAACGCTTTCGTTTAGCGAATTTCGTTAGTCGAATTTCGTCCTGAGTATAATCAATCTTTGTTTTATCACGTTGCCCACTTAATTGTCGGAGCATTGAGACATGATTCGGAAATGGATGGATTCTGGATGCTTGCACCCGCATAGATGACAATCGTTGCACCACAGAGATGTATGCATGATTTCGTATCGTAAAGTCATCGTCATTGGAGAGAACTATACACTATTATCGGCTCACTCGGCTGTATTTAATCGCTTCGGAAATAGAAATGAACAGAAAATTGTTTCGATAAATTCGATGGAAACTTGTTACAAGTGTGTGTAAAGAAAACGCTTGCAACAACGTATTTATTAATTAATTAAACTTCCACGTCTGGCGTTTTACTTTGACTTGTACGGCTATCACCCATAAAACGACATCAACGTTAATAAATCGCAAGCGAATAAACATCAGTGGAGAGAGCCTGCAACGTTTATCATATATTTATGGCGCATTACAATCGAATAATATTGTTACAAATGTTACGTCTGAATTTACAGATCGCAATTAAACATTCTGTCCTACCCGTTCGGCCGTCAACCGGCAAATTAATTCGCCGACAGATAACAGAAAGAGGCGTGTGACAAATTGTTAACAAACCGACTAGAGAGTAATGATTTATCGTGCGTTTTACGTACCGAGAAACGTCGCGCGAAAGAAACTTGTAGCCGAAAGATCACAATGATTGTCACATAATTACGATTTATATCAACGTAAAGCTATATACTTTGCGTGGAAATTTTTCTATTATTTAATATTATTAAGGAAGGAAAGCGTACACGTAGGTTTTTATAGCGAAAACAATTCTTCATATCATTAATTCATTTAACAATAAAAGAATAAAAGCCATTCAGGTCATTCTCAGTATCGTTTGCAATTTAAAATTCATAAATAATTCAATCTAAATAACGATGTCAAATTAATTCCCTTACGATTTCCTTGCTTTTTATTGCGTAAAATTTTCATATAGTCATAATGACATGCGAGCGACAAGCAAACGATGTATCTTTGTATATATTTTATTATTTGACATCGTTATTGACATCGTATTGAATTATTAATATTATTATACATACAGAGGATGACCTAATGATAAGGTCGAATTTATTCTTTTGTTATTAAATGAAGTGATGG